ATCCGTACCTTAAAATTTTATTTAAATGTAAAACACCTTAAGATAAAAAAATTATTAACAACAATGAGTATCTGACAAATGAAGAATATGTAAATTCCATTAAATTATATATTCTTACTGACACATTAAACATTGTTGTCGAGGATGGATGACGTATTTCAAGTTTACCTATTTACTTTTACGTTATGTGTTAAACGACAAACAAACACTTGTGAGCTTATCTTTGACATAATATTCATTTTATTTTCTAGTTTTTAACGTGATGGAACGATTAACATCTTCATTTTAAGTCTTGAACTGCTACCACTTTTATTTTATTTATGTTAGAGCGGAGGAAGTTGCAGTTTTCTTCATTGTATTTATTTAATAATCTATTACTTATGCACAGATTATGGAAAGTGTTGTTAATAGAGCAATTAATAATCAAGAATCAAGAGATTTTGACTTCAGGAGTGTGTAGCAAGCGTGTTGTTTCATGAGATTAAGGTTGAACTATACTGAATAAAAAAATAAATCGTTATTTAAAAATTCTGAAAAAAATATCATAACTTTTTGATGGCCTTAGCAGCAATATATATAAATTTGAAATTTTTATCGGTGCCGTTTAAAAATAAATTTAAAAAAACCTCTATTTTTGGCCATTTTATTTTTTTATAAAAAAACTGTAGGGAAGAATTTTTTTATTTATTTTTGGCGTATTGTTGATTACCCACTTATATTACTGTATTTTTTTGATAATGCGCTTTTTCATAAAAAAAATTAAAACTATTGAATTTTGCAATCAGTTACAAATACTCAAAATGAGATAAAAACTCTGTGTTACTGTGTGTGTGAGGTACTTATTTAATAAATATTTTTACTTTTACTATTATACAGTTTATTTTCCGTCATTTATAAAATAGGTATATGTTTGTAACTGTAAATTACCAAAGACATTAATCAATTTTTCTACATAATGAAGCATTCTGAAATATAATGTGAATAACTATCAAATGCGTTTTTCCATTAAAGAATACTGAAGCAAAAGTGTGCTTTATTTTCCTTAAAAAAACTAAAAAACAAAAAACTCCAAAGTTATTAAAAAATATTATTAATAAAATAAAAAACAAACTAATTTTAAAAAATCATATTGGTTTTAATCGCTTTCAAACAAATTGAGATTATTTTTACTACTGTGATTTTTTTTATTCACGTTCTGAAATGTCTATCTCTGATCTATCAAAAGTCGTCAAGTTGTGATTCTCACCTTTTACATACATTATCTGTACAAGTGGTTTTTAAATAGATATTTTGATAAAAAAATTTCCAAACGAATAAATGTATTATAATTTTTTCTAGCTTAGACATTAAAACGTTTGTGACAAAATAGCACTCCTGAGATCCCAATACCAGCAGCCTGTTAATTTACCACACCCTCCATGAAAAAATTAGAAAAAATTATAGTTTTAAATTCTGAAGAGCTAAAAATTTTCCCAACTTGTATGTACTTTTACCTTAAAAGCAACTCTATGTTGAACCTTAGTAAACACAAAATGGAAATGTGTGATGATAACAAAAAATAAATAAAACTTGATGCGAGAGTTAAAGTAATTTTAAAAAAAATTGCAGAAATCACCAGAATCTGTGTGTTGTAAATATGTTGACAAAACGTTATTGTGTTAGTGAGAAATTAAATAAAACCTTAATTTCTTTAATTAACTTTTAAACCTGCATTCATACAATTCATGCGTACGTAAGTACATATTACGTCCATTGAGTGAAATTATTTATTTAAGTGCAAATTGCTCAACAAGCTTATTTAATTTACTCATTTTCATAATTGACTAAGGGCAATAATGGATTAGAGGTGGGTAAATACCGATATTGGAGGGTATTACACTGATACAAATAAATTTCTGTATATTATTATTTAAGACTATTAGTATCAACACAAGTTTTTCGAGATGAAAATAATGCAAAATCATATAAGATATACAGGGTGTGTCAGAACTCGCGCCCCAGAGGAAAATTTCAAGTAAGATAAGAAACCAATAAGAACATGGAAAACATCTTTAAGAAATTCTATTTGTCAAAAAATTTTAACATTTATTTTTTGACATTTTACATTTTTTATCTCTATTTAATAATGATGATCTTGTATACAGGCTGATCCGGCTAAACCCCACATTATATGTATTAGGAGTTCTAATAATGATATTTAACTAAAATTTTGTTTATAGCCATAATCGGTTAGATTCTGCTCAATGAAAATATTTTCAAGACGGCGGCACTTCTTGTTACACCGGAGGTGAATAGAAAGCTATATTTTTTATTGCGTTTTTGGATTACTCTAGTGATTTTGAAAGAGTTTTCATTAGCCTTCCCTATACCTAAGTTTAACCGTTTTCGAATATTTAGATCTCTTTAGAAAGTTTTGGATTTAAATCTTCCTATTTTACCATTTTTTATTATGTTAAAACCGTATTTGGGTATATGAGAGAGAACGGTTAGATCTTTCCGTTGATGTATTCATAATTGGAAAAATAATTAACAAACCGCCAAAATGTAAGGTTACGTTTCGGAAACTTCAAATACCTTTAATTCAATTTTTCTAAATAAAACACCCCAATTTTTTCTTCTCTAAATAGAGGAGAATTTAGTTCTGCTTAGATCTATATATTAACATTCCCTAAACCTATATTTGACCGTTTTAAAGTTATAGTAACTTCTTTTGATATTGTGAAAAAATCATTAGCTACTTTACCATAGAAATAAGAAAAAAATAGAATATCAAAGTTATTATACCAGGTGAATAAAAAGTATGGTACCAAACGTTTTTTGCTTAAACTATTTATTTTTTGAAAAAACTATTTGATGAGTGCTAAAGTACTATAAAAATGTGATGATTTAACAAGAATAAAAATTTTCGAAATTTCCTTTTATTTTTGAGTTCTACAAAAAAATTAAATTTTTTAAATAGCAACCCACTATAAAATCATTTTTCTCATAAAAGCTGTACTCTAAGGAAAACAACTATCTGCTTTATTTTTAATTTTTTCAAAAAATTTTTTTCATATAAATTGCAATTTTGACAAAAAAAATCGCATAACTCAAAAACAAAACAAAATTTCGTTCTGAAATTACGATCACATTTTTTATATTACTTCAATTTATATTAATTATTATTTTCCGGAGGCAAATGATTAAAAATAAAACCGCTTGGTTCCATACTTTATATTCACCCTGTATATAATTTAGATTAAATAGATTTAATTGGTATTTACAAAAAAAAAAATAAAAATAACACAATTGTAAAAAAAAACTGCATTTTTTCGGTGAAAAATATTTCCATGGCAAACTATGCGAAAACTAACATGAATAGTAATGAATTTCTTCCATTGTAAAAAAAAGTTAAAATAACTTGGAAACCATTAAATTTAGGTATAGGGAATATTGAAACAGATCGATGCAGAATTAAATTCTCTTTCATTTAGTAAAGAAAAAATTGGGGCTTTCAATTTGAAAAAAAATTGTTACGAGTATTTGAAGCTTCGCAAACGTAACCTTAAATTTTGAAGGTTTGTTAATTATTTTTCCAATTATAAATAAACGAAAGAAAATATCTAACCTTTCTTTTTCATATGCCCAAACACGATTTTAAATTAATTAATAATGGTAGAGTTATTGATTTTTGGAAAAGAAGATGCGAATAAAAAAAATATTCAAAAAAGTCTAAAAATTTCAAAAACGCTTCAATTTAGGTATAGGAAAGTCTAATAAAAACTCCCTCAAAATCACTTGAGTCATCTAAAAACGCAATTAAAAAACATAACTGCTGTCATTTTCATTAAGCAAGATCTAAACGATTATGGCTGTAATCAAAATTTTAGATAAATATCGCTGTTAGAACTCTCAATACTTCTAATATGGGGTTTAGCCAAAACACCCTTTTTTCATAATTATTTAGTAAAGGTACAAAAATTTTGCTAATAAAAGCTACAAGTAACATTAAACAGAGTTACAATTTTGGATACAGATTCCTTATTTTCATCTCTAATAATCTATAGCAAAAAAAACTTGGAAAAATTATTTTTCCAACAGAAATAAATAGAGGAAAGTGTAAAATATAATCTCATAACTTCAAAATTTTTATAGATAGAATTTTGGTATCGTATCTGGAGCGCGAGTTCTGGCGCACTCTATATAAATATGATATACAATTAGTAGCATTTGTATATTATTTCAAGCTCAGCTGCATTTATTTGTTATTGTTGTAATGTGCAAAAATAAGTTATTTAAGATACATCCTGATATATTACCGCACTTGCGTGCCAATTATTTTAAAGTTCAGGGGAAATTTTTGATCTAAATGTAACTTTGTCGTTTCGGAGACGTCTTAATTTAAAAAATATTGCCTTTGTCATCAAACTGACAAATTTTTTTCAAAATTTATGTTAACACACATAAATACGTGAATGACATCGAATTTACATTAGCATTAATTAGTTGATTAAAAAATGAATGAACAATATTTTCGAATCCAGAATTCTTGATTTTAGAGTGAAGCATTTTTTTCAAAGGATGTTTTTGATAACATTGAAATAAAATGCAATGAAGATAAAGTGCAATTATGAAATTTAGGAAGGAAACACAGACAAGGCCACTCATATAATTCGGACGTCAAGAATAGTAAAAATAACGTGTTCATGTGCTCAGTTTTAAAATAGTTTTCAAACACGAAAGAACAAACTCGTTAGTGCTATTTATTTGAACACGTCAATCTACCGACTCCTCGCCTTATTATTAACATTTCATTTAAGCAATAGTTTAATTGTACACATGCGCAACACTGTAAGAAACATGTGACTATAAATATGTAGACGGTAAATGAAAATAGTACCGGAAACATGAGAAAGAAACGAAATTTCTGAATGAAAAGTGCATGCCGGAGTCACAAAACTCCGGGGAAGGGCACCGGAGTCAGCGCGCAAGAGCGTCCTGTAAAGGGCAAAGTAACTCACCGTTAATTAAAGGATAGTTGTGTCCGGGATGTCCAAGGAGGGATTTAAGACCGCTTTCGAGTAGATTTGGTGAGCTGCGGTCCTTGTAGCTCATCTCACTGTCACTATCACTGAAATTGTAGATTGAGCGCGGAATTTTGGCGGCTTTTTTGAGTGGTGTTGACACCACTCGTCACTATACCATAAAAAAAAACCTTGTGACCGCACCAGAAGCGGACTTACTGCATAAATAAGACGAGGTTCGGCCTGCGGACCACCACAATCAATTCGTACTAAAATAGTTCGCTCCACAGCGCGACATTACTGCACTCTGGCGACTTGCTACCGCCGCTCCGGGTTACAGTCCAAGGTTGATAACGATGCTGATAATAATGCCGATAGAAAATTACACATGATAGCCGGCAATTAAACGATGCTGTAATACATTACAACATAACCAATCTTCATGTTCCTGCTTGTGGATCTGACATTTTTACTGCGGAGGGCGCTTGCGCCTGGACTGCTGCAACCCAACTACCGATCTGAGAAAACCTTGCAGGAGTTGCAGGAAAAGTTAGGCGAACAGCAATACACGTGTTTTGCAGGAGAGGAACTAACTAGTTTTTGAAAATAACATTTAAAAACGAAAAAAACAAATAACAATCCAGTCAAATTAGAACAATCAAAATCGCATGTCTTTCTTTTTCTTGTTTTCTTTTGAAAAATCAACAAAGGAATTGTATTCTGAATTGCAACTACATTTTTTACGTCATTTGTGGCTCTTATGGTCAATGTTTCTGTGACTTGGGAAAAAATTGAAAAAACATATTCTTTCACAAATTTGATTCTTCGACGTTGAATTTTATACGCAATCAAAATCGACCATTCTTAATTCAATTAAATTATTTTCAAGATGTTCGAAATTCTGAAACTACGAAAAAATGCCAACTTGAAAATTTCAAATGGAAACCATTTATTTTTATTGCACTTTTGAATTTGCCTTCTCAAACTGAGTAAAATGTATACAGTATTTGATACTTTTGTCATAAAGCTATAATTTAGTTTTTTCAACGGTAAACGAGAGAACATCAATTCTTTGTTAACCAATATTTAATATTATGGAACATCTTGAATACATAAGTTGATAAATAAATACTATTCAATTTTTTCATTGTAAAAATTCCTATTTTTGACTAGAATCAGTGAATCAGTTCATTTCAAAGGAATTTATTTTAATTCGATGTAATTAAATATAATTGTTAAAATATATAGGTGCATAAATAATAAATATAAATAATGAAATAATTTCATCTTTGAATTTTCAATGATCCTAATTTTTTGGAACGATATTCTACAGACTTTTGATGTTATATCGAAATTATTACAGAAAAAGTATATACCTAGATCTTTTCCAAGTAATGTCGTTAATAAAGGCAATTTTTTTTTCTCCGGTATTAAATACATTATTACAATGATGAAATAATTCAACTTGCCTTACCCTTTATATCTAGTTGTTGAGATATAGTTTAGTTCGTCGAATAAATTTAAATTTGGGGCGCAATCTTTAACTCTACAATTGTTTTTAAAAATTGAGTTAAAATTAGCAAAAACAAGCGCAGAAGAAAAAAATCTCTTCATATAAAAAAAATTATTAAACGGTAAGTAAAAATTTTACATTTTTTTTTTGTTGAAGCACCGAATTTAATTACCTCAATGTTACCGACAACAAACAAGGTAAAAACTTTTGGATAAAGTACTCAAAAGGTTCAAACCTCGTTTATCATTTTTTAAACAATTTTTCCGATGCCATTTTGAAGGTTGCAGCTTCATTCTATATCTCAGAAACTATAAACATTCGGATAAGAAAAGTTTATTTATTTTGACTTATTTTGTACTCTACTATCACCTGTTAAAATATTCACTACTCCAAAAAATCTGGTGTGAACATCACACAACTTTCCTTATCCTCATTTGGAAAACATCCTAACGACAATAATTTAGTGTTGGCAATCCGACTAGCAAACCTAAATTGCGTTAGTGCCATCTGCGGGATTGCACGCGAAATAGATCATAGTTGTCGCGGGTTCGAGTCTGGGGTTCAGTTTTTTTTTACTTTGGTATCCATTATTATTATTGTTTTATCATATTTTACTATTTAATAAGGTATATTTCATGATTCTAAATAATTTTTATCCTCATGAATTTATTGTATTTTCAATCGTATAATTTTTACCAATTGCTTCGTGCTACGTCCTCTTGCTACAAATAACTTACATACCAAATTCCAAGTTTCTAGCTTTTAGCGTTTTCGAGATATGCTGTTTACAGACATACACACAGACACACACACGACCCAATGGCCCAAACCAACTTTTTTGGTGTCTTGAAGCTATAATTCGTCCAAAATTGTAAAAATATATGTAGGTCAAGTTTCATCCGATTATAGTATTTTCCTTATATGATAAGGAAAGTAAAAATTAAAGGAACAACATTTTTTCCTAAATTTTTTGGTAATTTTTGAAAAGCTGTAATTCATCTAAAAATGGTCGTATCTAGATTAAAAAAACAAGTTTATAGTTTTGAGATCTTTCGGTAATTTTTTTTCTGTGCTACGGTTATCACGCAATCCTAATAGTGGGAGAAAAAAAATTCTAAATTTTGTTGTTTTTGTTTTTGGTCTACGGACGTCGGGATTTTTTTTTAGTTAACTCAATTCATAGGCCAAATAACATGTTTGTTTACCTTTAATACGCTTTTTTCATATTCTCTTTACGTCAATTTAACGCTGAGATATCTGACTTTAAATGAAAAAGGATCTTTTTGTTTTTGATCACCGATATCTCAGCTACCAATGACTACACAGAGAATATAAGGGTAGTGTCAAAAACTGGAATAAATGTCTTATAAGATCCTTATATGAATTTAGGGTTTTTTTTTCACCCTCAACATGGATTTAAAGAAGAGAAAAAATTTATAAACTATAAAGCTATAATTTACTTTTTTTAAATAGAATGACCCCATTTTTTTCAACGGTAGGTAGTCGAGAGAACATCAATTTTTTGTTAACCAATAGGAGTATTATGGAAAATAGATAATCTGGAGTAAATAAGTTGATAAATAAATACTATTCTATTTTTTCATTGTAAAAATTCCTATTTTGTGACTAGAATCAGTAGATAATTTCAAAGAAATTTATTTTAATTACATCTGATTATACTTTATCATAGAATAAGTTAAATTTAGAAGATATTGTAAAAAAATATGACTGCAAAAATTAGTAAAGATTATCGTTTCTTATTTTTTGTTTATTTTGTTTTTTCTTAATCGTTTTAGTTTTGTTCACTTATTATGTTTTGTGTTCTTTTACTTTTTTTAAATATTAGGTGATTCACCAGGAATAATGAGCCTGACAAAATTTTTAACTATGTTTTTAATAATAGAATGACTATTGAAACAAGAAATTACCAAGGTACAAGAAAAGAAAACTCTAAATTTAAGAAATATTTGTAATTATTTTCATTATAAACATTGCAAATGCATTTAACATTCATTTTTGGCAAAATTACTTGTAAATGCAATAAATTAAGTAACCACAGAAAATTTTACAAACTAATATAATTATAGCCTAATAACATTTATAATAATAGTTTAATTCATCTACTTTATGCAATAGTAATTAGAGGAATTAAAAATAGAGCCAAAAATTGAAAATTCAAAGCACATATTGCAAACAATGACATTATTGTCAATATAATTCAGCAAATTTTGTAATTTATCACATTTTTACTTAACAGCATACACAAATAAATACATAAATGGCAAATATTTAAAGCACTAAACCCATAATACATTCAGTGACTGTTTGGTATTATTAACAGGCGTTGAACTCCATCGTTTGTGCGAAACATTTTCAGGTTTCTGCCACAATTTCACATCGTCTTCTATATTTCCATTTTTGTCAGAAGTCTCCACATTATTATGCAACATACTCCTTAATAAAACATTTTTTGCTGTAACTTCGTCCCCTACAACTGGTAGTCCAACATCTTGAAACGAATTCATCGAAGAAAAGCCACTTTCATCTTCAACAGAACTGATACTGCCAGCAGGTGGTGAATTAGATTTTTCCGATTTCAGTTTATCGTTATTTAAAATAATGTGCTCGTTGAGTGTTGAGGACAAAAGTGGTGTTTCTATTACACTATTTCGTGGAGAATATTTGAAAGAGGTTCGTCTTGTTTCGTTGAGTTGGAGAGACAGTTTTCGGTTAAAAGCGGTCGCAATTCTGGTTTCTCTTTCAGGAACTAGAAGTTTGGGGCTGAGAGAAAATGACGTTGTTCTTTGCGGTTTTGTGTCAGGTGTTTGGGGAAATTCTTTTGCCAACTGGGCTAAAAATTCTAAATCGTCTGGTGGATCGGTCGCAAGTTTCGGCTCTTGAGTGTTCAAAAGGGATTGAGCGGTTCGGAGGAGCCGAAATGCTTCTTGGGACAATTTCTCTGGAGGAATCTCTTCGGAGGATACTTCGGGTTTCTTCGGACGCCTCCTGGAAAAACATATCCAATTTATATACTACTCCAAAAAATTAAAGGAACAAAACATTTTCCTAAATTTTTTGGTGATTTTTGAAAAGCTGTAACTCATCAAAAAATGGTCGTATCTTGATTGAGTTTCAAGTTTTGAGAACTTTTGGCAAATATTTTTCTGTGCTACGGTTATCATGCAATTTAAAGTAATAGCGCGAAGAAAAAAAAATAATTTTTATGTTTTTGTTTTTGTTCCACGGACGTGGAGATTTTTTTTATTTAGTTAAGTTATGCATAGGCCGGATAGCATGTTTGTTTACCTTTAATATGCTTTCGTCATATTTTCTTTACGTTAATTTGTCGCTGAGATATCAGATTTTAAATGACCACCCCAGAGAATATAAGGGTAGTGTCAAAAAGTGGAATAAATGTCTTATAAGATCCTCTTTTTTTGAATTTTTTTGGAATTTTTTTTTTCATCTAACATAAAAGAGAAAAAAGTAATTTAAAAAATTTACGGAAATTTTTCAGTAATTCTATTGATTAAAAGTGGATATTGATTAACAATGTATTCATCGTTATTCCATTGTTTTCAGATTAATTTCTATAAGCTAAATTAATTCCACCATAACTTCTTTAATTCCAACATAATTTTAGTAATATCAAAATAATTTTTGTAATTTCAAATTGATTACGATACTAAGATACTCAACGTAATTTTGTAATTTACAAGTAATTCCAGTAATCCTATTAATCCATCGTGATTCCATTGTTTTCAGATTAATTCAATTCCTTTAATTCTAAATTAATTCTTGTAATTCCAAACTCCAATTCAGAAAAATTTCACCGAAATTCAATTTCAGTAATTTTATTAATATTAAAGTTTCAGATTAATTCCTACAATTCCAAATTAATTCTCCTGTAATTCCAACTTAATTTTCGTAATTCTAAAATAATTCCTGTAATTTACAATTATTTCTGATAGTTTTAAGAAGTTCAGTGCAATTTTCAAACGAAATTATCTCCGAAAAAAAAAATTCAGTAATTCAAGAGAAATTCCAATAATTCATAAGAAATTACAATCCAATAATAATTTTAACAATTCCAAAAACTTTCAAAAAATTCCAAACAATTAAGATTAAATTTCAAAAATTTATACAACTAATTCCAGAGTTAACGACCCCTTTGCTTTAACCAACTTAAAAAAAATATATTTCACATAAAGTTGCAAGATATTTATTAAATTTAGATGTGTTACAACCGTTATCATTATTTTTCTAATGAAAATATCGTTTATGTTAATTTGGCTTTTTCTAAATAGTAATTTTTTTAGCATTATCGACAATTAGTTCACTCGCTTCATTAAAAATACGAAATAATTACTTTAAGATAAGAATATTGGTCACAAATTAATAAGTTGACTTCCTTGGACAGGTCAAGTTAAGTCAGGAATATTGAAATTGAATTAAATTAAATTAAATTCCTATGAATGAATTTGCTAGTGTTGTCAATATTAAGACTGACATTTACGTCTAAAAAACCAGACTTTAATTAAAATTTGCAAAATTTACCATGTGAAATCTCTGAACATTGAATAATCGTCGTTGGAGTTGAGTGTATCTGAACCATTTTGAGCCACAACTATTTGGTGTTCACTTTTCGACCTGGGTACTGTCTGTTTTGAGTTCAATCTACTTCCTAAAAGTTCTAAACTTCGATGTGCCTTTTCCAGAAAGGACACAACTTGTTTCATCACTGCTTTGTACATTTCTCGACTCTTCTCCACTTCTTTTAATTGCCATTGTAAAGTGCTCACTTTCGATTGTTGGACGATATTTTCGACAGGAATTTCTGAAATTCGACTTGAACAAATGGAAGTTCTTCTACTGTTGCTAACACTACTGTAGGACAACCGTCGGTTATCATCTCCAGAATTCTGAAAAAAAAAACGTTCAAGGTAAAATAAGTTTCAAAGTAATGATTTTCGACACTTTCTTCATTTTTTGTTTAGTGGTTTTTTTAGTTGATTTAGTCTAGTGCACTCGACTTTCTCTAAAATTTCGTCAAGTCTAAAAATATTGTCATAAACAAACAATATTTCAGTGAATGGGGAAAATACGAGAGGCATTGAACGCAACCGTTTGAAGCACTTCCCACGCATGTAAAACATGAATATTTAGAGTGTTGAAACAACGAACAAAAAGATATCTTCTGCATTCCAGGTTATTTACAGATATTCCTCCGAATATTCAAAACAGTGGCTTATTTTTACTTGATCCGTTTTGAATTGCAAAACTGAAGAAGAGGGAGTGGTAGATTGACAACTGAAGTGCTATTTTTTCAATCTGTTTCATGATGTAACAGTTGTTTAACAATTTACCTTCACTTCGTGAGCTCCCATTTTTTCAAGTCGTGATTCATACCTGCAGCAAGATCTTCAATTTGTTCAAAAATAAAGCAATATATTTCTGAAGGCCACAAAATTTTAGTACACGCCCCAACTCATTGCTGTATCCCATTAACATTTTTAATATTGTGGCTCTTGGTAATCACATTCTTTCTCAAAGTTATGAATATTTCCTTAACACATACTCGATTTACAATAAGAGCGATGAGATTTTTTAAGAACTAAGTGTTAATTATTGACCAGGTGTAATATTTTTCAAAGATTATCTTGCTTTACCTGTCTAATATTAATTACATTGAGAATGTTTGAGATCTATGCACAGTGCAGCTGCTTCGTATTACATGGATCGGTGACTCCCCTGAGATAATGGGAAACAACAATTTTTAAATTAAAAAAAAAACAAGTTTTGTACCTATTTTAACTGATTGTAGTTTTATCAAGGGAATAAACAGCTATTTTAATCCCGATAATGAAACTTTCCTCTCAACAGACTAAATACCATAAATAATGTCAAATAATATGCCAATTGCAATTTTAAGAGTAAAAATCAATATATAGGAATTTGTTTATGCCAAAAACACTCGAAAGGTTCAATTTAGTCAATTCCAGTTTATTGTAAGTAAAAATTGGTATTTCACCTATTTTAGTCCCCAGGAAATAAAGTACTATATTATTAGTCAAAAACGAGAAAATAAAACGTCACTTTACTCCCGGTTGGGAGGACAATTCATTTGCTCGTACTATTCTATCAATTAGAAAGTTATGATTTAGTTTACACGCATACTTAGTTACCGCATTTTACAAGTTGAATAATGATTATTATTCATCTACTATTACTACTATTACGTTCAATGAAATATTACATTTGTTACAATCCTGTGGTTAAATATCTTACATTTCCGTAACAAACAAAAAATCATACGAATGCTTTTAATTTTTAAATACAGCGGCAAAATTATTGAATAATCTTATTTATTAAAACTGAAAATATTTTGTTAAAGAAATAATGATAAAAAAATGTATTACCAAAAATAGTCGGGTGCCATCAAGGGGCCGTTAACTCTGGAATTAATTGTATTATTTGGAAGTTTATGGAATTATTTAAATTATTATTGTCTGGATTTTTACTTGTGAATTAATAGAATTTTTTTTTGAATTACTGGATTTTTTTTTAGAATTTTCGGAGATTATTTCTTCTGAGTTCAAATTACAGAAATCATTTTAGAATTACGAAAATTAAGTCGGAATTACAGGAGAATTAATTTGAAATTGTAGGAATTGATATAAAATTTTAATATTAATAAAATTACTGAAAATAAATTTCGGTAAAATTTTTCTGAATTGGAATTTGGAATTACAGGAATTAATTTAGAATTATAGGAATTGATTTAATCTGAAAACGAATTACGATGAATTAATAGAAGTACTAGAATTGAATTACCAGAATTACTTGTAAATTAAAAAATTACGTCGAATATCTTAGAAGTAACGTAGTTAATTTAGAATTATAGGAATTAATTCGAAAACAATGGAATTACGATGAATCCATTATTAATCAATATGAATTAATATTAATCAACAGAATTAAGTACTGAAAAATATCGGTAATTTTTTTAAAATTATTTATGGGAATTCTTTGTAAATTACTGAAAACATTAAGTTGGAATTAAGTTGTAATTATAAAAAATATTTTAGAATTATAGGAATTAATCTGAA